GTTCACAATACGATATTTTAGCATACGGGCCTGCACAGCGTATCTTGTGAAACACCAGGCAAGTCTGGGGTAAATCCGTGTATTCCAGCCATTTGCCAATGATCTGATTGTATGAGCATTCAATGACAGCAACTACAAGATTGTTCAAATGCAGTCAATTACTAACTTGCTCTTAATTATTTTTAGTAACCTGCTTGTTTACGTAATGGTTTTGATTTGCCTTGATTGTTTCCATATTACTTCAGCATAAACCCCATTTTTTCAGTCTTTGCAGGTGTTTTGAGGACTTAGGCTGTAAGAAGCAATTTTCTCCTGTTGGTTCGAGTGGCATCATGTCACAAAAATGTGCATTTTGCATAGAAGTGTATTAGTAGAGTTGCACAGTCAGGCTGTGGAGCTTATGTGCATAGGAAATAGCTGTAGTTACCACATCTAGGATGTCTTTTAGCAAATACTAAATTATTCTAAAGAAGATTCATAGCCAACACTTCCCTAAAATGGGATTACTGGTGCCGCTTCATGGAGATCCTACTTCAGCCTTATTGATTGTTTTAGTAGGCTTCGTCTCCCAGGGGTCAGTCATGTAACTGCATTTGACCACAAATGCTATTTTATGCTTTCGTATGTTCTCTTACTTTAGCCAAGATTATCTTGAACAGGTGAAGCAGAAATGAGTTACAGTTTTCCAAGATATATTTAGGAGACAGTTTTTTCTTGAAAGTTGAATGAAGTTCCATAAACTTAAAAAATGCGAGTATCACATCCAGCAAGCTAACACTGAGGATGCTATATTGTTCAAGGAACATTTAGAGCTAAAATCCATTTTTGTTAAATTGGATTCCTATTTCAAGATAGCAAGTATTAGTGAACTATCTTAAAGGAATAAAAGCCTGGTTTGGTCATGATGGTAGAGGTAATGGGCAGAATAGGCCTGTATTTCTGGTTTTGATTATGTTGTTTTTTAACAGTATGTCTCAGTGAGCAAGTGCTTTAGTCCCCATGAAACAGAAATGAGCATTTGATTCTTTAACATGAGTGCCATTAGTTGGGTAAGTTCAAAATTATCTTTTTTAATATTCTTAGTAGTAGTTAGTTGGAGCAAGAGTTTTCTCTATGGGAAGACAATGAACAAGGAAGTGACTCTTTGGAAGTTTCATGTGATACGTTAGATTATTGAAACCTAGTTGGTATAATCTATGTTAGTATTGTGAGCATGTTTCTGGAAGGAAATGTTTCCCTACAGAGAACCTCTCAGAGCAAGTGCTTTTAATTCTTCGCAGGAATTTGCTGTTAGTTTCAGATCTAGGATTTTCCAACTAAGAAAAGCAAAGATTTTTCAGCCCATGAATCAAGTGGCAAACACAGGGATCTTTGAATATCAGAGAGGAAAAATGTTAAAACTTCTCAACAAAGAGTAGTCAGCAGTCTGCCTGATACAGGGAGAGGGAGGAGGGAATAAAGAACCTGTAAAAGAGGGAGGAGGGAATAAACAACCTGTAAAAGTTGTGAAAATTATCACAGTAGTCTAGTTAAGGGTCACTGGAAATTACAGCTTACTAATGTTTTGCTGCATGGAGGAAATAATTCATATAGAAGTGAGCCAATGGAGTTCCACGTTCTGGAAGTCAGGTAAGAGGTAATGTAGACTCAAAGCTACTGCTCTTCGTGGCAAGTTCTCACAAAATACTTGCAGGCTATTGGTCAAGTGGTGAAAAAAAACCCCAGTAATGGGGTTCCAGTCAGTCGTGTTGCTTTGGGAGGGTTTAATCAATTACAAGGATAACTTTCCATTTCTTTCCATTAAGTGAACACCCTGCGTTGCTATGAAGTAAAATGTGACTTTTTCATTTTAGTGGACATTATGTGTCAGTTATACAACGTTTGGCATTTTGTATTGCACTTCTGTCATTATGTGTAAGAATTACATTTTTAAAATCGTGAGTTAAACCAGCAATCCTGTTGTGTTGAAACCTGCCATGGTAAAAGGATGGCTTATGCCATTTGCCTTTAAAAATATGTACTCGAGTTAAGTTAAAACAGGTATATTGATTTCTACTGTCAGCCATTAATCCTTGAGGTTACCTTTAGCACTTTTTTGGTGTGTTGGATTAGTGAGGACCCAATGGCTCCGTGACTTTGGCTGAAACTGGATGTAGATTTGCTTAACTATCCCAGTATGTAGATATTAAATACAAATGAAAATTTTACTCTCTCCTCTAGATATGCATTATCATTAGCTCTCTGGCTCTCAGGCTGTATCACTTTACTGTCTCCAAATACTGTAGTTAACACGTTCCTGCTGTTTCTTCTCTTTTTACTTGTACTCACAATGTTAAAATACAGTTCTTGCTAAAGAAGATTCTATTTGTTGCTTGGGGAACAATGTGTCTGATGTTCAATGATGTCCCAATTCAGAACAATACAGAAACACATCTTTAATTTGAATCCCATATTTAACTTAAGTTCTTGAAGCCCTTGAATCATGGGCATAGTGCATTTCAGAAAATGGACACAAGCTTAACATGGTGTTTCTTGTATGTTCTCATGTTTCAACAGAAATATATCTAGCAACTGCTGCTCTTCTATGATAAATCCAAGAGTGAAGGTTTTCTTATTAACTCTCTGGAGAAGGAATTTAAGACCCAGTCATGAAAACACTGACGTGACTGAGTAAAGTTCTTCATGTCTAAACATCTGTAGGATTGTAGCCTTCTGTAATAATGGAATAGTGTGAAAACCATGTCTATAAAATGTCAATATGGCACTGTATCAACACATATTCTTTACACAGCTTTAAGGCAGTCAGGTTTGAAGAGTTTCTTTATCTGTTGCATATCTTTCCCATCTTGTGTCTGGACTTTTTTTCTGCCTGCGGGTTCCCATTGGCCACATGTCTGAATGAGGCTAAACATTATTTTTGTGTACATTTTTGTACAGTACCTGTATACTGTTTTAAGGAAAAATATACACGTGCATTTTTCTTCTTTATTAATAAACTGTGTGACAATTTAAAATAAATTCTTTCAGCTGTTCAGAATGGTACACAGATGTACTGGCACATTTCAGAATAAGTTAAATAGAGAGCGAAGTATTGTGTCACCAAAGGAGCAGAAGAAGAGGAGCTGGTCTCTGACCACTAAAGCAAATTAAAGCAGTGCTAAGATGGTGCCTTTGAGAAAAACAAGCCAGACAATTCTGGTAGTTAGGTGAACGATGGAAGCAGCAACAAAGAGAAAAATTTTACCAAACGAAAATTGTGGGAGAAGTATAAAGGCATACTGTGGAGTGAAAGGACAATACTGAAACAGCTGGGGGAAAAAATAGAAAATCAGTTTGGTACATGAAGCAAAAAAGGGGAGTGGCGGGGGGGCAGTGTAAAGTCTTATAAAAGCCATAACATAACATTAACATGATGGATACTTCACAAAAAGAGAGGATTGGAATGAGGAGTGAATAGGCATTGATATGAAGGCCTGTCTGATACCCAAGCATAGGAATACCAGTCTGAAGTCTTCCCCTCTCCTTGTAGACCGTGTGGGACACTCTGATGCTTACTGTGTTTCATTCCAAGGCCAGGTATCTCACAGTGGGTAACCCAAACATGATCTTTACAGGGCTTTGCTCTTAGACTTGCAGTGAAGAGAATATTCACTTGCATTTAGACTTATTTGGAACAAGGTGATCTTTGAGGGCCCTTCTAACCCAAACCATTCTATGATTTTAGGTGCATGTATAGGTAATTCCTAAGCTGCTGCGGTGGAGAAAGAAAAGAGAAAGGCTCCTAAGTGGTTGGTTCAGGGTACCTGTGTTAGATATGTACAGATTTCTCTCTGAAGGACCCTGTATCTACTGAAACTACATATGATTCTATCACCTTAATTTAGACAGTTAGAGTAAGCTGCATCCTCTCTCTGTCTCTTTTTCTTCCTACTCTATAAACCAAGGCAATACGTTTTCTACCGTGAGGTTGTGAGGGCAGCATTCACCAGGAGTTGAGAAGCACTTGCATATTATAGTGGTCACAGATTGAGAAGTGCCAAAGTGAGAGGTGTCTTTTGTTGGAGGAAAACAGTATTCCAAGGAGATTTGGTTTGCTGTTGCATATATCTAAATTTTAATGACATGGAGAAAAATAACCTTTCCTCAAAAAACAGCAGCAGAATAAACTGAATAAAGCTAGAAGCGATAAGAAGTGAATAGATCTGGCATGCAGTCTGATGAATAGGCAGAGAACAGTCATAGCATCACTTCTTTGGGATGACCCAGACTAATTTGTCTAGAGCATCATTTCATGTTCCCCATAGTTCTATCACTCTCACAGCAGAAGAAAACAAAACCTGTTATTTCGCCTTACTGTATATATTTTTATATGTAATCAGTGGTTTCTATGTTTTTGATTACAAAGCATATGCAAAGTTATTACTGACACAGATGCATTATCAAAAAATCTTAGTATCACTGGCTACTAAGATTAAACTGCTGAATACTACATTTTATGAATAATTTATATGTGATATAGTGATGTACATGCTTGGTTGATTAGTCTGAGCACAGTTAATCTTTCTACTACCAATCGGTATAGTAGTTTTAAAGGACTGACAACAAGGCAATATTCAGAAGTAAAGTTTGAAATATTTTTATCTGGTAACTTTTCTTTAAAATTGCTTGGCTATGAAAGTAGAAGAGACTTTTTTACTTGAAGCTTTCAAGGTTTCTGGCAGCTAAACTGAGTAGTGTCAGAAGTCTTAAGCCATAGTGCTTCCCTCAGGGTAGAGTCGTCCCTCTGCAGAGTGCCATTCGTGCCCCACTTACCTTCCATTAAGGCTTTCAAAACAAGTTTGAAGTGGGACACTAGTCCTCTACTGAAGCACCACGTTCCTCACCTGCAGAATAGATTTTGGAAGGCCTGCATTTAATATCTGTATGTCTTTTTGTCACTTTTTTCCCTTGTAATGATAGCATATAAATATTTTTTTTTTCTTCTTTCTTTTTTGAAACAGAAAGAATGACTTACTGGGGAACCAAGTTAGAAGATGAAGGAAGTGAAGATTGGTCATCTATGCAGAGGAAATTACAAGGTACACATAGCAATAACACTGGAGATTCATTTCTTGCTGGTGCTCAGGTCTTCATGGTAGATTACTTCTGGCAGTAAAGTTTAAAAGTAGTCCTCAGAAACCTTGAAAAAGATGTTTTGAAAAGAACTTTCTTCTTCTGTTTGATTGCCAGAGTAAGTAAAGTATTTAAATCTTTATAAATATCTTTAACATACACCTTTAAGTTCATTACTATGCTGAATTGTAGCTGTATTTCTACAAGTAAATGGCAGTCACATTCATGAGCTTTTTTTTTGCAGAGGCCAGTAAAAACAACCCTTTTCCCAACACCAAATTGAAATCTCTCCAGACACTATCAATGGTTATTCTTGAGACTTTAAAATAATAATTTCATGGATTCATTTCAATCACTGTACACTCAATGCAGGAGATGCACCATTTTCTCTTTTCTTTGTTATTTATAACAATTACAAGGAGATGTGCTGGTACCTGTTTTCCACTGCATTTAAAGAATATGTTCTTTTACATTTGCCATCCTGTAGATTTGTAACTTGAGGAGTGCAAAGCCAGCATTACTAACACCTCGTGTCTCTCAAATATTTTCAGTAATGTGACTGAATAATATTTATATGGTGACTGCTAAGAGACTGGCACAAGGCTATATGCGACTTTAGTTCTGAGGTTAAATGTTACTTCAGTGATGCATAAAATTTGTATTGACCATCTGCCCAGCATTGAATTGAACATTAATGAATAAACCTCATAGTATCACTGTGAGATAGAGAGTTATGATCTCCATTTAACAAGTGATAAAACTGAGCCCCAAAGGGCTTGTGTAATCATTTCAGGTCATCCAGGAAGTGTATAATAGAGCCAGCAATAAAAGCCAGCTCACCTGACCTGCCATCTTTCCTTTTTTTGGACATCCTTTTGGTATCATTTTTTGCTATGTTCTGTCAGTTGTGGAATGTGTACGTCGGCAGCTATACATTCTTTATGCAGTTTTAGCCATCAAATTTGCTTGCAAAGTAAATTAAAACCCACAGTTAATGTGAACTGTGAATCATGCTCGTCCATAAAGAACAACATGAGACACAATGCAAGAAGGCCAGCATAAACAGCACCAGATGGCCTTCGTAAATTGAGCAAGTTAGCACAAAACGCCAAAAGGGAGATCTGTTATTGTGACCTCTCTTTCTATTTTTTTGCATAATGTTGAGAGGAAGACTCTGCAGATCTTTCTGTGATGCAGAGAAGAACTGCTGGTATAGGACGATTAATGCTCTTCCCTTTGTAATCTTGCCGAACGTCTCTTTGATTTCCTTTAGTAAATGTCAGGTCACATGTTGGCTGCTTGAATTCTAAAACAGAAGTATAAATCATCTTCTCAAGTGACAGAAACTGTCATTTTTCCTTGCAAAATATTTTTCTAACTATATCTTATGTAACTCTTACAGTTGTTGACATTTTCTTTAAAAGTCCTGTTCGTATGACACCCAAGATTCAGTATAAAGCTACAAACTAGAATAGAGAATTCTTTTGCTTTTGCTTATATGTGTTTCCTTTACCATGAGTTGGAGAGGAATATTATGCATTTCTGAGTCATGCTGTAGAAAAGTATTTTATTTTTAATATCATTAGAATTGTAAAAGAAGGAAAAGGATAACCTTAGTATAGGTGAAATCAAGAGTTAATACACTTCAATTATAGAAAATGGCGATTAAATTTTGATGGGCTGCTATCACTGATACTTCAACTAAAATGTTGATGTGGTGATGTGGTGAGTGTGAGGACAGAAAGTACTCGACCACACCTCCTGTTTTATTGTGCCCAATTCCTGCCCAGTTTAAGGGTAATACTCTAGCATTAATAATCTGTTTTTCCTTTGCTCTTACATGTCTGTAGAAAACTGCTGATGTGTCTTCCTGATGGGTCTTTTAAATCAAACTTATCTAATGTAACAATTTCTAAGAAAAAATGGCTGCAGAACGTGGAGCCAATTGGTGTGAAATTCCTGCTGGCAAGGCTTTTGACTTGCGGCTTCTGATGGACCCAGCTGAGGCATGAAAGAAAGAACTTTTGCAGGTATTTCAGGTCTGTCTGTGCCAATCTCACCCCAACGAGCAGTCAGTTAAAGTATTTCCAAATTGCTTTGGAAAAATAAGTTCAAGAAACACTGTGTTCCTTCTGAGGTTATGCCACAAGGGTGATCTGGAATACCAGGAGTTGGTCATGAGAGTGGATCCATTAATCCTAATTCATCCAAGTCCAAATAATTCAGTTAAATTTTAACCAAGCTACCTTTATGGTAGATGCAGCGTATTTTAAGACACCTTTAAGAATGTGAAGATAGATTAAGATGTCCGTATTGACATTGTCTTAATCTGTCACAACCAGGATCTGAATTGTTCAGTTAAGTATCCTGTTGCTGTCAAAGAACATTGCTGAGTTTAGGAAGGGAAGCCAGATCTTGATCTAAATATCTCTGCTGTATAATGAGATACTGCATAATAATAACCTGCACGGCAAACAGTTGAACTCAGCACAGACACACGTTAGAGGGGGCACTTGTCTCGGTTTAAAAAAAGAGTGAAAAGTGCCCTCCTTGTTACTGTGACTGCCCTGAAACCCAGACTCCCCACAGAGTTTAGAGCAACATACCCTGGCATCTGTGGTATCTCATGATTGTGAGTTTGGGGTTTGTAGAAACACAGTTCCCTTCTTATCAAAGCCAGAAGTAGGAGATGGGTCCCCTGGAAGCAGATTCCCTTTATCAGTCTACATACTTATATGATCTTCTCACTGTTTATCAAAGCTGGTTCGGGACATTACAGATTTGTTCTCCTCAGCTCATAGTAACAGGAACATAATATTTTACAGGTGTGGAACTGAAGCACAGGCTTGAATACTTTAAGATGTATAGCCTCAACGGTTGAGGCCAGATATTTAAAAGCATTCAGCATGGGTCAGCTCATCTTGTGATGTTTGCAGGGTTGCAGTTTGCCTTTGAAACTCTGACTAGTTACTTTAGGAGCTAAACCAGCCAGAAGAACTGAACTTACTTTTCTGAAAACCTGACCAAAAAATTTGCCCGAGATCATGAAGGAAATAATGTGGTACAGTTGTGAAGTTAATCTAGCTCACTCAAATTTCTGCACACCCCAAGGACCTTCCTCCCTCTCACCTTACTCTCTGTTCCAAAGATTTCTTTTGCTGAGTTTTTGGAAGACAATGCAGCTCTTCTGTGAACTTTTCTCATTAAATCTTTCTTGCTACGAGCTTAATAGAGGGGGACTCTCAACAGTGCTCTTAGAAAGTCCTGTAGTGCACATTAGAGAATACTGGGTCCTGAACCCTAAAGTCTCCAAAGGCTTACTGGATGATCTCTTTTTAAGACCTCTGTTGGTACCAGTTATCTCAAATTGCAAAGCAATGGCAGGTCTCAGAAATCTGCAAGAGTGGGTCTCCCTAGTTGATATATATCTCAGGAGATCTGCAAAGAAAAGGAGGATGATTAAAGTTTATGGCTTGAGCAAGAAGAAGTCAGAGGGAACATTTCCCAGTGTTCTTTTATGAGGTTTTTTAAAGCAAAAATATTTTTCACTGACAGGCCTTTCTAATGATTGAATACCCTGTGAGTTCTGTGTTCGCAAGACGGCCTAGAGAAACACGCTTTTATTTTCTGCTGGAAGACTGCAGTCTTTAGCACTCTCAATATTAAGATCGTTGGAGCCAGGGTTCCCTGCTGATGTTACTGAAATGAGCTTTAATCAATCTTGAAAAAAGACTTTAATAACCTGAATTATGGCCCCCAGTGCTAGATCTTGGACAAGAGAGTGAGCCTAGCAGTATTGATTTTCTCATGCTCAGCAGTTTTTCTGGTATTTTTGCCACTTGTTAGTAATGTATATTTTAATAAAACCTCAGTTTATGAAGAGCCTTTTCCCAGCAATCTTTATGTGTTTAAGTGGAATGTTTTTACATTATTCACATATATTTTTTCACATTTTCAAGCAAATGCATGTCTTGAGGAAGATTCCGGATTCCAAAACTATTCTAAAAAATTGAAGCTTTCTTTCCTCTCTAATTATGACACAGCTCTTGTCAGTCCCACCAGATGGGGAAGATGAGGCAGAAAGTAGCACGGACAGTCAACCAATTTTATTCTTTCATTTTCACTTTTTCTGTGAGGAGGCAAATTGCTTCTTTTGACTCAACACAGCACTTTAAGTCCTGGGCTGTATGTTTAGAAGAACTTAGAATTGATTTTAATGAGAGAATTCAGAGCTTTTGTGAGAGAACTGCAAATATCTGCAAGGGGCTGCCTTCATTTTGGGCCAGGAAATCCGATGGAGAGTCCACAGGAGCAGTTTACTGTTCATATGCGAAGAAAGATGAGAAGGGAAGCGGAAATGAATAATATTGCTCATATTTCTCTAGGTTTGTGTCCTAAACAATGTAAATTACAACGGAGTCCACAGGTGGCATCTTGTATGTAGCCTGCAGCCTTCTGACCTCCTTCTGAAAGGTGACCTGTGGTTTGATGGGTTGGCTCTCCATGAGTAAGTTGTTATTGAGCAGACCACTAATGCTTCTCCGCAGCACTATAGCCATACCTTTATAGGGACTGCTAAATGATGTGGTATGTACCACAGGGACCACTGTCCAGAGGAAAGTGCTGTCAAAGAGTGAGAGGGGGTTAACCACAAAATATTTACCATTTTAGTGTGCACTGAAAAAAAACCATAGCTGAAAACAGGATTTTCCTTAATGCTCTCCGTGTATTGTGGTTTTACATTGGCTACAGAAAGGGTTCTGTACAGTGTTGATTCTCCAAAGCAGATGACAAACAATGATTAACTAGTTCCTTTCAACGGCTCATTAATGAGCAGAAACCAACTTGAACTAGTTATTCATATTGAATTAAGATTTTTTAAAAATCATGTAGTTATGAGCATAAATGTTTTCATCTAAATCTAACTTTCCCGTAAGAGTGCACTTGGGGCTGGATGTCTTTCTTCAAGCTTATTTC